TAACAAAGAAAACGTCAAGGTGGACCCCAGTTACTGGAGCCTCTGGTGAAATCCAAGTCGTTCATTTCTACAGCCACTGGATCGTCAGGTGGGGGACCTGACTCTGAAACACAATTTCCTATACATACCAGGATGCCCCATCCCACTTCTGAGTCGAGACCTTCTCTGCAAATTAAATGCACAAGGAACCTTGACTCCAGACAGTTCCATTTACGAGTTCCCCTGGAACAGTCCCCAAGTTTGCAGATGGCCTTGCTGGGGATCCTTGGGTCAGAACCAGAATGGTTACTGCCTGAGATCTACAAGAAGGTAAGGCCCAACGTATGGGCAAATGGGACCCCAGGGAAAGCAAAGAATGCCCTAGCAGTATGAATATCCTTAGAAGAAAATAAAGCCTAATCTGAAACAAAAAGGATGCTCAGAGGGCCAGACAGCCTATTTTCAAAAAATTCTTCTGGCAGGATTAATAAGACCCTGTCAGTCTCCATACAACACCCCTGGTAAAGAAGCCAAATTCTAATGAATATCACTTTGTTCAAGATCTGTGTGCCATAAACAAGGTGGTTCAAGATCCTACACCATCTTAACAAATATACTGGGAGAATATGGTCGGTTCTCAGTATGGGACTTAAAGGACACAGTTTTCTGCATACTGTTAGGCAAGGAGGCCCAACAGCTGTCTGCCTTTGAATGGAGGGATCCAGACACTCAGATGACACAACAATATTGTTGGACTGTCCTTCCCCAGGGGTTTATGAACTCTCTCACTTTATTTGGGGAAGCGCTGGCCACAGATGTGAGTCAACTAAAACTGAAAGAATAGCTGTTACTGTGGTATACAGATGACCTACTGATAGCAAGCCCCACTTATGAGCAGTGGCCAACAAACACAAGTGAGCCTTTAAATTATTTGGCAGGATGTGGATAAGGTCTCTCAAAAGCAAGCTCAGGTTTGTGAAGAAAAGGTCACATACTTGGGATTTGCCATATCCAAGGGACAAAGAGAATTGTTGCCCAATCAGGAAAAGGCAATAGACTGCTTAAGTCCTCCCGAAACTCGTTGACAACTGAGGTTTTTTGGGGATGGCAGGCTTCTGTCAAATCTGGATTCCTAATTATAGGTTCAAAGTAAAGCACCTATATGAGACCCTAAAGGGTTTAGACTCAGAACCTCTAGAGTGGACTAAAGAATGCCAGTTAGCATTTGATACGATAAAAACTAAGACGATGGGGGCCAGCCCCATGGCCGAGGGGTTAAGTTTGTGTGCTCCGATTTGGCGGCCCAGGGTTTTGCCGGTTCAGATCCTGGGTGCAGACCTAGCATCACTCAGCAAGCCATGCCGTGGCAGTGTCCCCCATATAGCACAACTAGAAGGACCTACAACTAGAATACACAACTATGTACTGGGGTGCTTTGGGGAGAAGGAAAAATTAAAAAAAGAAGACTGGCAACAGATGTTAGCTCAGGTGCCAATCTTTAAAAAAAACCAAGCTGACTTCAGCTCCAGCGTTAGGATTGCCGAACCTGGGCAAATCCTTCAGTCTCTACGTACTTGAGAGACAAGGCATAAGTCTGGGAGTACCGTCTCAAAAGTTGGGAACAATCTCTAGACCTGGGGTCTATTTCTCTAAGTAACTGGGTCAAATGGTGAAGGCTGGCCCTCATGCCTTCAGGTAGTAGCGGCCACATGTGACATTCTTCAAGAAGCTGAAGAATTTACTGTAGGCCAACCTACCATGGTATATTTGCCCTACCACATCCTCACAGTTATTGGAACAGAAAGGGAGGTACTAGTTCATCTCGGGAAGGATGGGCAAGAACCAAGCTATCCCTTTGGACAATCCAAATGTCAGGTGACAAGTCACTTTAAACCTGAACCCGGCTACCTTGCTTCCCAATGAGGCCTCTCAAGCTTTAGAGTATGACTGCTTGCAGGTCATAGAAATGGTTTATTCTAGCTGGCCATATCTAAAAGACGAGGTATTAGAAGAACCCAAACTGGAGCTTTTCATGGACAGTAGTAGCTTCACAGATCAAGGTAAGAGGCGGGCTGGGTATGCAGTTGTGACCTTGGAGAAGACACTAGAAGCTAAGGCATTACCCCCAGGGTCTTCAGCCCAGAAGGCTGAGATCATTGCCCTCACGAAAGCCTTACTCCCACGGCGAGGGAAAAGGGTGGATGTCTATTTGGATTTCCGAAATGCATTTTTGGCGGTCCATGCCCACCAAGCTATCTGGAAGGAAAGGGGGCTTCCAGCCGCTGACAGATAGGGAATTAAACATGCTCCACAGATATTACAAATATCAGAGGCAATCTACGAGCCCTCTCAAGTGGCACTATTAGCTTTTGTCTTACAGCCAGCAGATCGAGCCCTTGCTTGGTAACAATTCTAAAATATAAATTCCTTTCTGTTTTAGCTAACATAAGTATGTACATTTTTTAATCTAGGAAAAAAATAAATTATACTATGTTAAGGCACAAAAATGCTATAAATAAGCATAACAACTTCAATGTACATAATCTTATAGAAAAATTTTATAAATAGAAGATAATAGCCCCTATAAGAGATTTAGTTAATTTTTCTTACCAATATTTTCAATACTTGAATCAAGATTAATCCCTAAATGTTGAAGAAGAGCCGGATATGATGGATAACCAGAAACTTAATCTTCCTTTGCAACTTCAAAAACCTCAAGATAAAAGATGACCTATTTAAAACACACATATGTTTCTACAAAGATTTCTGTAGTTGTTATCCTATAGACAGGCCAGCGAATCCCCTGGCTCTCAAAAAGACGTCTGTTGAGCCAGATGAAATAGAAGCATGTAATATACCTCTAAGGAAGAGAGGGGAAACCCTAAAAATAGTTTTATGTACTTTTAGGTGTAAAATAAATTTCAGAAAACACCAAGTAATGCTTTTGGTAAAACATAAACATCTTTAATTCAAATGATCTGAATTAAAAAAATATTGAGATCCTACCATGTACTGGATGCTCTGCAGGAAGCTGAATATAACGGACCAGAAAATGGTCCGCACCCTCTCGGAGCTTATACGGTAATGGACATATCCTCCAAAATGATCCTTTCTTTTGTGTGGTTCCATGCTCATCAACTGACTTTTGAAATATAAATTCGCCGTCCCCAAAGGCTTAATACCCTTAAAACAATGCCTTACACTATAGAGATCAGCTTTCTGGTCAATGTATCAACATATTCCTACTTAAATTAATAAAATATTCTTCAGATTTGCACATCACTCTCATGAGTTTAGTTAGCTTGAGTGAATCCCCAAAGTCTTTCACTTCTGATTAACTGGTTAGACGTAATTTCTGAACCGTCAGAGCTGAGAATCGGATACAGGAGTTGAGTGTGTCCATGCAGAGATGCTATCACCAAATGACTCTCTGGTTTATCCTCAGACAACATACCTTTACTTCATCATGCCCTTCAAACTGCAATTACAGTTAACGCATAAAACTGTTAATAACTGAGATATACCACATAACAGTGCTTGTCAAACGTTAACGTGCATGTGGGTCACCTGCACATCTGTTAAAACGCAGACTGAGTCAGGCGGCCGCGGCAGGGACGGAGACTCTCTGATACTCTCCCGGTGACGGTGACGCCGGGCTGCGTCCACAGAGCAGGAGGGGACGCAACGCAGGGCCCAGGCCTGGCGCGCAGGCTGCTCAGCCCAGTGAACTGTTTGCTCTCCTCTGTGGACGTCTTATCTCCCTTAATGATCTCGCCTTTTTTGGCAGAAATTACGACGGCTTTTTTCATCTTTGTATCCGCCAAAGTTCTAACCTAATCAGCATGCCTTTCATATGGATAGACATTAAATATATGCCAACTGAATGAATGACATCCAGTTTTTAACAGCCATATCTTCTTCCAGAGTTACACACACAATCGTTTCTTCCTCTGAATTTATTTTAGATAGAAAAGTATTTTTGAAAACTGAAAACTCAGGAAAGCTCTCAACCTATTTTTCAAAAAGAAAAAAATTGTATTTGCGGCGTAATCCAGTGCGTTTTCTCACGCTGACCGAATCAAATTTTTTTAAAAAATGCACATATCCATAATTAACTGAATTTATGTCCTAATTATTTTTCCATTTTTTTTTGTAAATAAGAACTTACAAAACAAAATATAAAACAAAAATAACTTAGTCATTTGGTTTTCTGGGGAAGTTTTAAAATTCATCTTAAAAAAGCAATCATCTTAGGATGTATCTTATAAAGTGGGCGAGGCTTCGGCGCGGCCGGACGGCGAGCTCCCCCCTCCCCGGCTCCGGGGGCCAGCGCCCCGCTCGTCCGGCCGCCCTGGCCCACAGCCTGGCAGCTACCCGCGCGGCGCCGGCGGCCCCAAGTCCCCGCGCGGGCCCGGGGGCGGGTCCCCGCGACCGAGAACAAGGACGCCATCCCTGCCTCCTTGCTGGCGCCTCGGCCGCCGCGCGGACACCCGGCTCGGTCCTCGGACAGAGGAACAGGGAGGGGGAGGGGGAGGGGGAAGGGAGGGGAGGGGGATAGGGAAGGGACGGGAGGAGGGGGAGGGGATGAGGAGGGGACGGGGAGGAGGGGGCAGGGGCATGAGGAGGGGACGGGGAGGAGGGGGCAGGGGCATGAGGAGGGGACGGGGAGGAGGGGGGAGGGGATGAGGAGGGGACGGGGAGGAGGGGGCAGGGGCATGAGGAGGGGACGGGGAGGAGGGGGCAGGGGCATGAGGAGGGGACGGGGAGGAGGGGGCAGGGGCATGAGGAGGGACGGGGAGGAGGGGGAGGGGGATGAGGAGGGACGGGGAGGAGGGGGTAGAGGACGGGGAGGAGGGGACGAGGAGCAGGCGGGGAGCAGACAGGGACGGGGGGACGAGGAGGAGACGGGGAGGAGGGGACGGGGGGAGGGGGAGCGGACGGGGAGCGGGGACGAGGAGGGCACGGGGAGCGGGCGGCGAGGTTGCAGGCCCAGGGCGGCCCCTCCTCTGCGGGCATCTCACCTGTGCCTTCCCTTTCTCTGTCGTCCGCCATCTTGCGCGGAGCCCGTCTCCTGGCAACCGTGCGGTTCGGCGAGGTCGCGGCGCCCCGCCCCCTGCAGTCCGCGAACCGGGAGAACCGGCGCCCGCGGAGACGCGTGCGGGCGGCGGAGCGGCCTCTGATGCGGAGCGGAGGGTCCGGCCGGCAGGACGCGCCCGCGTTGTGCTCATCGTTAGGCACCGCAGATTGTTCTTAGCTGGGACGTGCGACGTGAACTGTAGTTTGAGTTATCCTGGAAGAGCTTTAAATCCCGCTGTTCTGAAGCTTTGGATCTGTAACACGATGTTAACTTTTAATCATTAAAAAAAATTCACTATACTAGAATATTTTGTTTTTAAAAGTTTTGTTTTAAAAGTTTTTAAATAATATGCTTTGACAAATAAAAATGGCAGGCAATAGGAGATATATAAATATAAATATAAATATAAAATAGTATATGAGGAAGCCATTTGGTGTAAAACTAATTTGGCCTGACCTTGTTTTTTCCAAATGGCCTGACTGGGTGTTGAGCATGGTTGTATAACCGCTGTAAGCATCTATGTCCCAAAGATAAGAACAAATGCCCTTAAGACAAAGGTGCAACTTCCCCCACATTGGCATTTGTTAAGGATCAGTGTCTCTCCCTAGCCTAGGAATTGATTGCTGTGTGCACCCTGTGACCACCCAGCTGGAGATAACAGATGAGCTACCTGCTGTGTCTGCCAATCGCTGTGCCGACAGGGTGATCTCATGACTATTGTAAAAGGGACATTTCAATCACCTGTGATACATACTCTTTGATGGTATATAACTACTCTTTACACCCCACTTCTTTGGAGAGCTCTGTTCCTTTGTGGAAGGACACTCCCAGACTATATGGTCCTCAAATCTGGCTCATAATCAACTCACCCCAATTTTGATTTGTAGATTGGTTATAGATTATTTGCATTTACTGGAGCCTAATCTTCTACCTGTAAATACCTACAGTACCTAACCTAATTTGGGACGCATATTAGAAGCTGAATACATACTTTTCAATAGACTAATTAGCTGATTAGACATAAACGTGTATAGGTATTCTGGAAAACTTTCCACAAAGTGAAAAAAATGGTCACCCAAGTGACAAAATAAGGGACCACAATGCCAATGAGTGGTTATCTGCATTATACTGGTATTTCACCGACTTGCCAGTTTTCTTTGGTTGTGGAAACCTGACCTCTGGTTATATTACACTTTTAACTCTTTTAAAACTATTATTAGCTTACTTTGGACAATGGCAAACTAAACTAAACAAACTACTTCTTTTTCCTTAGAAGATATTTAGTTTCTGAACTATAGATTAACTTTGTAATATTATATGCTGCTAAATCATTCTTTCACTTAAGAATTTCAGTGACTTTTTCAGAAATTCAGAATTGGAAAATTAATTTTTGATCCCATTCATGGATATTATACAACCTTAGGACTAACTCAGAAAAGAAGGGCATCGTTTTAGACAATGACACGTAATGATTGACTATTTAATGGGGCCGGGTGGATATGTGCACATTATGTCCTTTTGCATGTTTGATTTACAGTGAGTTGAATCTGTTCAGACAGGCATCAGTTCCGTGCCCATGAGAGACACAGAACTTCTGTTTCTTCTGCATGCAATTTATTCAGTTACGTAAGATGTGGGTGAAGAGGAAAGGGTAAGTGGTGTGAATAATGCAAAATGATAGTCAAAACAATGTTCACACCATCTTTACTTTCCTAGTGTGGAGATCATTGAAATCTTCTTGGACTAAGAAAAATTAGAAAAACAAAACCTAGCTTTTCCTTTGCCATTGCCACATGCAGACCTCATGATCCTAGGCAAGTCATGTAATCTCTTCAAAACTTAGATAACTCAAAAAAATAGCAATAGCAGTGTCCAAACTCCCTACCTTAGAGTTTTCATGAGACTCAGTGGATGTAACTGAGAGTTTTGAAAAGTTGAAAGAACTTGCAAGAAATCCACTCTCTTTAAGAGAAACAAACCGCACTTCCAGGGAGGAAGGAGCACGCAGAGGTCAAGCCCCAGCTTCTTTGCTGAGACTCAGCATCCATTGGGAGAGTTTGCTTTTCCAGTGCTTCAGCTACAAATGGGAGGTGGTCTGACCCCAGGCCTCACTCTTCACTCCTAGAATCTGCTGCCTGCATGACAAGATCTAGCTTACGTGATAGGGCTTATCATCTTCAGTGGGTGGCCCCTTCCTGGTTTCCACCTTGCCATTTTTAAACCTGAGTGCACAGAAGTGGGCTTAAGCATATGTAGATTCCTTGAGCTCTAGATCCAGGAAAATGAGAGGGAGGAGTCCACTGCTCATTACCTATATGACTTGATTGGCCTGATTTACGTTCTTTGGACTATGGTCACATGACACTCGAATGACTCTAGGGCTGGGAGTGATATTATTTGGAGCATTTTCTATGTTCTAGGAATTATGCCAGGCATTGTACATGAACTATCTTACTTAATCATCACAATAACCCTGTAAGAAGGTTACAGGGTTATTGTGATTCCCATATTAAAGATGAAGAAACCAAGAGTTAAGATCCCCAAATTGCCCCTCTAAGAGGAAAAATGGCTTTTCTACTGCTGAGCCCCAAAGCCCCTCCTGAGGTTCTGCCTCTGAGACCTTTAATTTCCACCCTGTGTCAAGGCCCAGGGCTCGGCCTGCTCTGCCCACTCTCGAAGGAGGCAGTGTCCATCCAATGGGGTGAGGAGGGGGCCTGTGAAGGGGGCTGGAGCATCCCAATCTCCCAGCTCCACCCTCCTCGCTACCCTTGAATACAATCATGTAGACGATTTTATAATTCTGTTTCACGGCTGACCTGTGGGGAAAGAGATAGGATAATAAAATTAACAAATGGGGATGTTATAAGTGTCCTGGAATCTTAGAAAATGTTCACACACATAATTCCTGATTCATAAAGTCCTTCACTCTCTCTGAGACGGTAACAGGGTATCTTTGGCACATGTGGCTCTTCCTTCCCCACCATGTCAATACTGCCGGCGCTATGATTCATTTTCCTTCCCAGAGTTTACACAGATTAGTTATAGTCCACATGGCTCTTATAGGACAAAAGAAAGATAGCCTAGAGGATAAATAAATAGGTAGTTACAGATATATGTATATGTGGATCTTTAATTGCTATATATAATCACCAAGCAGATACTAAAAAGTAAATTTGTCCTGTTATTTTGTATTGTAAACAATTCTAATACCATTTGCATCTTCAGAATTGAGCAGAAAATTACTCAACGCTGTGCCTCGCCTTGGCTGTGTAGGCCTGGCCTGTGATCATGGCCACTTACACTTAATACAATGCCTGCAAATAACAATCAGTTGAGACTAAACATTCTTGTGAGTTGGAAGCTAACTCCTTGCTAAAGTTCCACATTACCTAGTAACTGCCCTGGAACAGGGATCTGCAACCCTCTCCTCTGTGACACTGTGACATACGCTATGCAACAGAAAACATGACTAAGCAACACAACACAGAAAAAACCCTCACAGGCTTTGCTGGGTTTTTCTTTATAATTTATTTTTCAGGTCAGCTATATTTTCAAAAAGGTAAGGGAAAGTGCAAGATTGGGAATGAATAGTGCCGAGAGGAGAGAGGTTAGAAAGGCAGTTATTTTTAGGAAGGCTTGCATGGGAAGCAAAAAGTTGATTATGCACGGGGAATGGAGTAGAGCAGCCAAAGGAAAGTGGTTAACTGGTGAAGAGTTTAACTAGTTCTCTAGTCCCTCTCATTTCTTTGTAAATATTCACAATCCCTCCTCACCAAGTAATAAAAGGAAGGCAGCTATAAACTCCTGCGGTGGGAGTCTCGTTCATCTTAGCCTCCCTCTCCACTCCTGGAGAAGGAACCTTCACTTAGGGTCCAGAACGTGGTGATGAAGTGCCTCCTGTGCACAGAACCTTCTGTTAGACACAGTAGGGAATTTGCAGACATGAGCACTGATAGCTGCTCTCTCTTTGCTGAGATACTTTTAGAGCTGGTAGTTTCAAGCTAGCAGTTTTTGGTTTTGGTTTGTTTTTTTCTTTGTCACCCATCCCTTTTTGTCCCCAAACTTAGTAAAATATTGACCCTCAAAAATGAAAAACCCACCGCCAAAGCTACTTTTCCTTCAAATGATGTCTAGTGCATGCCATACCCTTCCCACGGCCACAGCATGCCCCACAGTGGTTTGCATCTCCAATACGTGAGCAATTATAGTCACCCAGAAGCCTGCAGAAGCGCATCAGTAGATTAGACAGATGGCGTCTTTCTCCAGGAGGTAGGTGCAGGTTATTCCTGTTTGTGAAGAGCAAGAGATTGCAAATTTAAGTAATGTGGCTAAATCTAGTCACTAAGTCATTATATGTCAGTGCCTTGAGTGGGTTTCGAGGCCTTTGAATTCATAGACCTTTAAGTAGAATATTAGCTAGAAACTTAGTCCCAATTCTAGCTTATGTCACAGAGGAGAGGGCTGTGTACTGTATTTGTCCTAATGAGGCAACAATGCTTTTCATGGCAAAAAAGAAAAAAAGCATAACCAAGAATTTAATAAATACTTTTTAAATTAACGCCCACAAACACCAAACTCCCCCTGAATGGTCTTCAATAACTATGCCTGGAGAGAATGAAGGCTTACGTGTAGCTTCTTTTTAATGCCCTTCTCTTTAAAACTAGAGTGCCCCGAAGACTGTGACTCTGTCTTTCTTTATATGAATTATCTTTAAAAGAAAGATCACTTTGGGGCTGGCCCCGTGGCCAAGTGGTTAAGTTCATGCGCTCCACTGCAGGCGGCCCAGTGTTTCATTGATTTGAATCCTGGGTGCGGACATGGCACTGCTCATCAAACCACGCTGAGGTAGCGTCCCACATACCACAACTAGAAGGACCCACAATGAAGAATATACAACTATGTACCGGGGGGCTTTGGGGAGAAAAAGGAAAAAAAAATAAAATCTTAAAAGAATGATCACTTTAACAATGAAGAGCATAATGGGAGAGCCAGGGGCCTGGGATCCTGAATTTTATTTCTATTTTTGCTTTGATGGTATTTAGGAATATCTATTGCTGGAATTGCTGTGGGATATTTATTAGCCCTCCATTTCTTTCAAATGGGTATCACATTTTTAACACTTGATAATGCTTATGCTTTGAAATCTTAGGATGATAATTATGATGTTTTCCATTAAGTATCACTTACCTGGTAACAACACAAATAGAATCTGAGGATCAAACATGTTAAATAGCATCACTATCTTGATAATGTTAAAGGCAAGTTTCATATCCAGTCTGGGGTCTATACATCCGTACGCCATCAAGGCTGCTGTACTCTCCTCTGGCCAGCCTCGTGCTATCCTGGCAATTAATGCTTCTTAACAGTCCCTAGCAAAATGCTACTACTAAAATAAAGTGGACAAGAAAGATATCAGCTAGATATAACCCCAGTTTTAAACAGGACTGTGCCTCAATAGTATTCTTTGTTTGTTTTTATTAGTAGATGTTATTATTTAGAGCAGTTTTATGTTTACAGAAAAATTAAGCAAAAGGTGGAATTCCCATATACTTCTTTTCAGTTCTCTCCACATATACAGTTTCCCCTATTATTAACATTCTGCATTAATGTAATCCTATTCTTTTCATTCTATTTATATTTAAACAATTGGAAACAGCTATTGTTTTGGCAAATAATAAGAAAATAAGTATTTTAGCGATCTTAAGCAGTTTGATCTCTTAGCACCATTTACACTCAGACAAAAATTATTTTATTTGGTGTGAATGCTCATATTTAAGTAGCTAGTCAGCTAATTGGGGGCACATTTTGCAACCAAACATGGTAAAGAAAGCACTAAACTTGCAACATTAAATATAGACCGAGTTTCTCCTCCTAACTCTTCCCTCGGCTGGTGGGTCGCTGAGTCTCTTAACCTCTGTGGAACTCTGGGTTGGCTTAGAAAAGCTAAAAAAAGCCTTTCTATTTCAAAATTTCATTAATTTATTAATCCCTTGTTCCAAAAATGAGTGGGAGACTATTTTAGGCGGGTCTTTTTTATTGTTGTTTAGATGGTTCTGTTTTTATTTTGGTGTGTATTTAAAAATCTAGTACCTCAAATCCATGATTTCACAAATGTCATTTCTTAAGATGAGATTAAATTTTAAAAAATTAGTCAATTTATGTCAAATTAAAGAAAATATTAAGTATCTAATAGTACATGAAACATATGACATGACATATGATATGACAAACACCAGAAGTAAAGGGTAACTGAATAATGTTTGGGAAACACTGGAATAATCAATGTACTAAACCATTCAAGAAATTATGTCAAACAGGGCTGTGTCCCAGAGCTCTTCTTTTTAATCTATACTCTCTAATAATTTGGCTCGATTAATGAACAGGTACCTTATTTGAGAAATGGGAAAATTGATATATACTCTTAAGGACCAGACAACTAATTATTTTTAATATATTTCCATTTGAAAAATGACAGATTGGCTGTAAATTCTTACAGTTACTTTTTCATCTGAAATCTCATTCTAAATGAAAATCTTTCAAAAATTTCACTATACAGAGAATACATATATCAAAATCACATATCAAGAATAAGCATTCTGATAGTTTTTTAAAAGGAAAAAATCAGACCATGAAGAAAATTTCATTTTTATTTATTCAAGTCACTTTCTCAATTTCACGAACACAAAAGCCTAGTTTCTATTGATGGCTTTTTTAGGGGTGTCTTTCAGCTCCCTGCTCCTAAGGCTGTAGGTTAAGGGGTTCAACATGGGAATGATCACTGTGTAGAAGACTGAGCCCGTCTCATCTGTGTCAAGGGAATGGGTTGAGCTTGGCTGTAAGTACATACAGATGACGGTCCCATAGACTGTGGTGACTGCCTGCATGTGGGAACCACAAGTGGAGAAAGCCTTGCACCTGCGCTCAGCTGAACCCCTCCTCAGGATGGCAGAAGTGATGTACATGTAGGAGACGAAGACAACCAGAAGGGAAGAAATGAACATGATGCCAGCACAGGCCAAGATCTGCAGCTCTTTGGAGTGTCACTATACTTTCACTATAAGTATAGTATAGACCAAATCATGTGATTGCCTCCTTTTGCTTCCTACAAGAGGAATGATCAAACTTCCGCAGTCAAACAATGGATCCTATTAAAATTATATTACTCTCATAGGAACCAATATTGAGGAAAGTCATGCCATGAAAGAGGCAATAACCTTAATGCCACACAGAGTAGACCTCTTGTGCAAAGATACAAAACATTTAGAACATGAATTTTAAACAAGAAGTAGTCTTTTTTTTCAGAGAGTTAAGGAGTCTTAACAATTCTACTAACAAAAAGAAGCAGTTAGGAATCAAGATCTCAATAAAATATAATTTAAAAAATTAGAAAGTTCCATAGGGTACCTCAGGAAATTTATGTTTTTCCTCCAGCTTTATTGAGATATAATTGACATACAACATTGTGTAAGTTTAAGGTGTACAGTGTGTTGATTTGATACACTTATATACCACAATATGATTACAATTTAGCATTATCTAGCTAACGTCTCCATCACGCCACATGAATACTATTTTTTATTTTTTTTATTTTTTTATTTTTTTATTAATGTTATGATAGATTACAACCTTGTGAGATTTCAGTTGTACATTTTTGTTAGTCATGTTGTGGGTACACCACTTCCCCCTCTGTGCCCTCCCCCCACCCCCCCTTTTCCCTGGTAACCACCGATCAGATCTCCATATCAATATACTAAATTCCACCTATGAGTGGAGTCATATAGAGTTCGTCTTTGTCTGACTGGCTTATTTCGCTTAACATAATACCCTCGAGGTCCATCCACGTTGTTGTGAATGGGCCAATTTTGTCTTTTTTTATGGGTGAGTAGTATTCCATTGTGTATATATACCACATCTTCTTTATCCAATCATCAGTTTCTGGGCATGTAGGCTGGTTCCACGTCTTGGCTATTGTAAATAATGCTGCGATGAACATAGGGGTGCAACGGACTCTTGAGATTTCTGATATCAGGTTCTTAGGATAGATACCCAGTAATGGGATGGCTGGGTCATAGGGTATTTCTATTTTTAACTTTTTGAGAAATCTCATACTGTTTTCCATAGTGGCTGTACCAGTTTGCATTCCCACCAACAGTGTATGAGGGTTCCTTTTTCTCCACATCCTCTCCAACATTTTACACTCTTGGTTTTGGATGTTTTTGCCAATCTAACAGGTGTAAGGTGATATCTTAGTGTAGTTTTGATTCGCATTTCCCTGATGATTAGCGATGATGAACATCTTTTCATGTGTCTATTGGCCATATTCATATCTTCTTTTGAGAAATGTCTGTTCATGTCCTCTGCCCATTTTTTGATCGGGTTGTTTGTTTTTTTGTTGCTAATCAGTGTGAGTTCTTTGTATATTATGGAGATTAACCCTTTGTCAGATAAGTGGCTTGTAAATATTTTTTCCCAATTAGTGAGCTGTTTTTTTGTTTCAATCCTGTTTTCCCTTGCCTTGAAGAAGCTCTTTAGTCTGATGAAGTCCCATTTGTTTATTCTTTCTATTGTTTCCCTCAACTGAGGAGTTAGAGTGTCCGAAAAGATTCTTTTGAAACTGATGTCAAAGAGTGTACTGCCTATATTCTCTTCCAAAAGACTTATTGTCTCAGGCCTAATCTTTAGGTGTTTGATCCATTTTGAGTTTATTTTGGTGTGTGATGAAAAAGAATGGTCAATTTTCAATCTTTTGCATGTGGCTGTCCAGTTTTCCCAGCACCATTTGTTGAAGAGACTTTCTTTTCTCCATTGTAGGCCCTCTGCTCCTTTGTCGAAGATTAGCTGTCCATAGATGTGTGGTTTTATCTCTGGGCTTTCAATTCTGTTCCATTGATCTGTGGACCTGATTTTGTACCAGTACCATGCTGTTTTGATCACTGTAGCTTTGTAGTATGTTTTGAAATTGGGGATTGTGATTCCGCCGGCTTTGTTTTTGCTCAGGATTGCTTTAGCAAATCGCGGTCTTTTGTTGCCCCACATGAATTTTAGGATTGTTTGTTCAATTTCTGTGAAGAATGTTCTTGGGATTCTGATTGGGATAGCATTGAATCTGTAGATTGCTTTAGGTAGTATGGACATTTTAACTATGTTTATTCTTCCAATCCATGTGCAAGGAATGTCTTTCCATCTCTTTATGTCATCGTCAATTTCTTTCAAGAAAGTCTTGTAGTTTTCATTTTATAGATCCTTCACTTCCTTGGTTAAGTTTATCCTAAGGTATTTTATTCTTTTTGTTGCGATTGTGAATGGGATTGAGTTCTTGAGTTCTTTTTCTGTTAGTTCATTGTTAGTGTATAGAAATGCTACTGATTTATGCACGTTAATTTTATACCCTGCTACTTTGCTGTAGTTGTTGATTATTTCTAATAGTTTTTCTATGGATTCTTTGGGGTTTTCTATATATAAGATCATGTCGTCTGCAAACAACGAGAGTTTTACTTCTTCGTTACCTATTTGGATTCCTTTTATTTCTTTTTCCTGCCGAATTGCTCTGGCCAGCACCTCCAGTACTATGTTGAATAGGAGTGGTGAAAGTGGGCACCCTTGTCTTGTTCCTGTCCTCAGAGGGATGGCTTTCAGTTTTTGTCCATTGAGTATGATGTTGGCTGTGGGTCTATCATATATGGCCTTTATTATGTTGAGGTACTTTCCTTCTATACCCATTTTACTGAGGGTTTTTATCATAAATGGGTGTTGGATCTTGTCGAATGCTTTCTCTGCATCTATTGAGATGATCATGTGGTTTTTGTTTTCCATTTTGTTGATGTAGTGTATCACGTTGATTGACTTGCGGATGTTGAACCATCCCTGTGTCCCTGGTATAAATCCCACTTGATCATGGTGTATAATCTTTTTGATGTATCGCTGTATTCAGTTTGCCAAAATTCTGTTGAGGATTTTTGCATCTATGTTCATCAGTGATATCGGCCTGTAGTTCTCCTTCTTTGTGTTGTCCTTGTCAGGTTTGGGGATCAGAGTGATGTTGGCTTCATAGAATGTGTTAGGGAGTTCTCCATCTTTCTCAATTTTCTGGAACAGAAATTTGAGGAGAATAGGTATTAAGTCTTCTTTGAATGTTTGGTAGAATTCTCCAGAGAAGCCGTCTGGTCCTGGACTCTTATTTTTGGGGAGGTTTTTGATTACCGTTTCTATTTCCTTACTTGTGATTGGCCTATTCAGATTCTCCATTTCTTCCTGATTCAGTTTGGGGAGATTGTAGGAGTCTAGGAATTTGTCCATTTCTTCCAGGTTGTTCAATTTGTTGGCATATAGTTTTTCATAGTATTCTCTTATGATCTCTTGTATTTCATTGGTATCTGTTGTGATTTCTCCTCTGTCATTCCTAATTTTATTAATTTGCGATTTCTCTCTTCTTTTCTTGGTGAGTCTGGCTAGGGGTTTGTCAATTTTGTTAATTCTTTCGAAGAACCAACTCTTTGTTTCATTGATCCTTTCTATTGTCTTTTTTGTTTCAACATCGTTTATTTCTGCTCTTATTTTTATTATTTCCCTCCTTCTACTGACTCTGGGCTTTGTTTGTTCTTCTATTTCTAGTTCTGTTAGGTGTCGTTTGAGGTTGCTTATGTGAGCTTTTTCTTGTTTAGTGAGGTGAGCCTGTATTGCGATGAATTTCCGTCTTGGGACTGCTTTTGCTGCATCCCAAATGATTTGATATGTCGTGTTCTCATTTTCATTAGTCTCCAGATAAAATTTGATTTCTTCTTTAATTTCTTCAATGATCCATTGTTTGTTGAGAAGCGTGTTATTTAGTCTCCACATTTTTGCACCTTTCTCTGCTTTTTTCTTGTAGTTGATTTCTAGTTTAATAGCATTATGATCAGAAAAGATGCTTGATATTATTTCAACTCTCTTGTATTTATTGATGTTTGCTTTGGTTCCCAAAATATGGTCAATCCTTGAGAATGTTCCATGTGCACTTGAGAAGAATGTGTAACCTGCTGTTTTTGGATGAAGTGTTCTATATATATCTATTAAGTCCATCTGGTCTAATTTTTCATTTAATTCTATTATTTCCTTGTTGATTTTCTGTCTGGATGTTCTGCCATTGGTGTTAATGGTGTGTTGAGGTCCCCTACTATTATTGTATTGTTGTTGATGTCTTCTTTTAGTTCTATTAAGAGTTGCTTTACAAATTTTGGTGCTCCTGTGTTGGGTGCGTATATATTTATAAGTGTTATGTCTTCTTGGTGGAGAGTCCCTTTTATCATTATATACTGTCCCTCTTTATCTTTCTTTATCTGTTTTGCTTTGAAATCTACCTTGTCTGATATTAGTATAGCGACACCTGCTTTCTTTTGTTCATTATTAGCTTGGAGTATTGTTCTCCATCCCTTCACTCTGAGTCTGTGTTTGTCTTTGGGGCTGAGGTGTGTTTCCTGGAGGCAGCATATTGTTGGATCTTGTTCTTTGATCCATCCTGCCACTCTGTGTCTTTTGATTGGGGAGTTCAATCCATTTACATTTAGAGTGATTATTGAGATGTGGGGGCCTACCACTACCATTTTGTGTCTTGTTTTCCGCTTTTCTTCAGTTTCCTTTGTTTCTCGTCCCATGGTTTAATCTGTTCTGATGTAGAGCTGCTACTCTCTGTTGTTGTCCTTCTACTTATCTCCTCTGCTCTTGGTTTTGTAGCCCCTTTCCTTTTTTTGATTTTTCAGGAATGAGGGTTTTCCTGAGGATTTCCTGAAGAGGAGGTTTTGTGGCAATGAACTCCCTTAATTTTTGTTTATCTGCGAAAGTTTTTATTTCTCCATCATATTTGAAGGATATTTTGGCTGGGTAGAGAATTCTCGGCTGTAGATTTTTGTCCTTCAGATTTTTGAATATATCGTTCCACTCTCTTCTAGCCTGTAAAGTTTCTGCTGAGAAATCTGCTGATAGCCTGATGGGGGTTCCTTTGTAGGTTATTTTCTTTTGCCTGGCTGTCCTTAGTATTTTCTCCTTGTCGTTGACTTTTGCTAGCTTCACTACTATATGCCGTGGAGTTGGTCTTCTTGCATTGATAAAGTTTGGAGATCTATTGGCTTCTGTCACCTGAAGATCCATCTCTCTCACTAGATTTGGGAAGTTCTCAGCCATTATTTCTTTGAATAGGCTTTCTGCCCCTTTCTCCTTCTCTTCTCCCTCTGGTATACCTATAATCCTTACGTTGCATCTCCTAATTGTGTCTGATAATTCTCGGAGAGTTTCTTCATTTCTTTTTAGTCTTGCTTCTCTCTCCTCCTCTGCCTGCAGCAATTCTATATTGCCATCTTCCAAATTGCTAATTCTTTCCTCCATATTATCGGCCCTACTGTTCAGAGCATCTAGATTTTTCTTAATCTCGTCTATTGTGTTCATTTCCAATATTTCTCTTTGGTTCTTCTTTATCGTATCAAACTCTTTTGTGGCATAGCTCCCGAACTCGTTGAGTTGTCGGTCAGAATTCTCTCTTAACTCACTGAGTATTTTAATGATGGCTGTTTTGAAGTCATCATCATTTAGGTTATATATCTCATTTTCTTTGGGATTGTTTTCTGTGTATTTGTTACTTTCTGTTCTGGAGATTTAATGTATTTTTTCATATTGCTTGATGTTGTTGATTTGTGCCTCCGCATGGAGATAGAGTTTAGTTGCTCCTTTCACTTGTTTCAGCTGCTGCGGTGGGGGAGCAGCTGTTTATACTGCACCAACCAGGAACTCTATCCGCAGTTGCTAACTGGGCCTGGGCCCCTCCTCGTAGTCACAGTGGTCCTTTGGATTCCCTCCTCTGCCGTGGGGGCTGTCACAGGGGGGTTTCAGGCTGATGGTGCCTACTGTTCCAGCCCACCTAGATGTGCTCCCTCCTTGGGGTCTGCAATGGTGTTATGGGCTTTTCCAGCAGCCAGGGGTGGGATCACTTATATTTGTCGCTCCGTTGCTGTCGGCACCCACAAAATCTCACTTGTCCTCTATGGGTCGCAGGAGAGCTATTGGCATCTTCTACAGTCTGTGGTTAGTTCACCTAGCTATGCTGCTTTTGCCCTGGGGTCTTCCAGCCTTGTGGTTGCCAGCTGGGTGCTTTCTACTGGTGCTGTGCAGAGGCTTTCCCTAAGGCTGCTGTGAGCCTGTAGGGTTTCCCCCTAGGCTATGGAGCTGGGTCTCTGGAACTCCCCCCAGCCCCAGTCCTCTCCGAGATCTCTGGCAATCCCTAGTCCCACGGGGCAGGCAACGGCAGCTGGGCGTTGCCCCACCCTCTGGGATTCTCTCCGGGGCTTTCCCGGAGTTGAGTGCTGGGCGTGGCCCCTCCGCTAATGGCAGACAGAGAGTTTTGTCTGTTGCCCGGGTGGAACTCCGGAGCTTCCCCTCCGGGTCGCAGAGCCGGCCTTTGAAAATTCCCCCAGCCCTGGTCCTCTCCGAGATCTCCGGCAATCCCTACTCCCACAGGGCGGGCAACGGCAGCTGGGAGACCTCCGTACCCTCAGCGACTCTCTCTGGGACCCTCCAGGCACTGCGAACACCGGGCGTGGTCTCCCCGCCAATGGCGGGGAGAGACTCTCCCCACGGGCCCAGGTGTGCAACTCCAAAGTTTCCCTCTGCATTTAGGAGTAATTGCGGGGGGTTTAGGTAGGGTTCTGGTCACCTGTTTCCACCGTCACTCCTCTGTTGTGTGCTCGCTCCTGCCCTAGATGTGTGTAGATCTTCTGGGGGTGTCCGTTGGAAGAAAGCCGCTTGCGGGTACTAGGCTGCTCGGTCGGGGTCAGAGAGTTTTCACCTATTTCCACATCCTCCCGGAGGAAAGTCCGTCTGCCTTCCGATGTATAGTCGCGTGGGAATCTCAGACGTCCTGAGATGCTGTCTGGATATCCCCCGTTAAGCGATAAGTGTCCAAATAATTGTAGACTCGAAGGGAGAGAGACAAAGAGGACCACTCACAGCGCCATCTTGGATCACTCAAGAGCATGAATACTATTTTTTATGTGTGGTTAGAACATTTAAGATTTACACTCTTAGCAACTTTCAAGTATACAATACCGTATTGCTAACTATAATCAAGGAAATTTTTCTTAATTGATAAGTCCTCTGGTATAAAGAAATGGACTGATTCACAAAAATAAAATGTTGCATTGATCTTGCGAGTAACTGAATTGCTAAGCATGTTGAGTGAATAGATGTTCTAGGGCCCATATAAGAAGGCAACTGCACTAAATGAGAAAAGAGCAGGACCTTAAGATCATCCAAATGGGAGGGGCGTTTGAGCAAATTCATACGACTGATGACTTCAAATCCTAGCACTACACTGAGCCTCCTTGAAACCACAATATGTTTGGTTTTAACACATGCCATTGAAGAGTATGAAGGCTAAAACAGAAGGATGCCCTTACACAAAAACACATCCACAAACCACACATAGACATTGGGAAATTTATTCTAATAGTTGGGAATAACACAAGCATCATTTGAACTCCTCTTTTGTTCCTGTTTTTGTACCTACTGTTGTTCCTCACTCCCACACAGCATACCCCTCTCCTTACCTCCTTTTTATGGTCTATAGTGTCCTAATCCATTCTACTATACCATAAATTGTACTTAATTATGTTTATAATTCATCTCTCCCCCTCAAACAAGGTGAATATTTTTCCTGTTTTGAGTACTAATGTGTTTATAGCATGTAGAAGTGTGATTGGCACTTAGAAGGCAATCTCTAAATGTATGTTGAACTCACTTGTGCTTGCTATTCCTTCTAAAGACGCAAGGCAAAGTTTGAAGCCCATAGCCTAAGTACTGAAAATCATATTGTACATAAACTTTAAGAAAAAAGATTGCATAATTTTTTCCATATTTGTTGTGCTGCCTATTTTACATTTTTGTTCTTCAAGCTATAGATCATGGATTCAACATGGGGACAATGATGATGTCATTTTATCAATGTTGAAGGAATGACTGGACTTAGGGTGAACATACATAAATGTCAAAGTCCCGTAGAACACTCTGACCACTGTCAGGTGGGAGTCACAGGTAGAAAAAGCCTTGTGACTTCCCTCAGCAGAGTTTATCCTGAGAATGATTCTGAAAATCAGGAGTTAAGACAAAAATACTACTTTCCCAGATAAACAGAAGCTGAGGGAGTTCATTACCACTAGATCTCCCTTATGAGAAATAATCAAAGATATCCTCCCACTGGCAACAAAAAGACAAAGGTCTACAAAGCTCTGAGCAAGGAGACAAATAGATAGACATGATCAGAAACCTGCAGCTCTCTACTAAAATAGGAAGGCAAAGACTCAATTGCAACTTAAAAGAGAAAGGGAAAGAAAGCATCAAAATTAATGATAAACACTTTGAGTTAACCACAAACTCACAAAATTAAAAACAGAACAATTTGTAACATCAATTACTCAGAAGGGGAGAGGAAAGGGTAGGAACCTGCTTAGGTTAATGGAGATAAGAGGCTTTGAGGAAATGGTCTATCTCATCTCTGATATCTTTCATGCAACCCTCATGGTAACCACTAAACAAAAAATCAGAGCAGAGCCACAAATCACAAAAACAGAGAAAACTGAGAAATTCCTCTCAGAAAACCAACAATGTTAAATGGCAGTCAGAAATACAAAGGAAGAGAAACAATGGAAACAGAAAACCAGAAAACAAGAGATAAAAAGGCAGTACTAAGCCCTCATCTATCAATAACCACTCTAAATGTAAATGGTCTGAATTCTCCAATAAAAAGACACAGAGTAGCTATATGGATTAAAAAACAAGACCCAACAATATGCTGCCTCCAGGAAACACATCTCAGCTCCAAAGACAAACATAGTCTTAGAGTGAAGGAACAATACTCCAAGCTAATGGCCAAGAAAAGAAAGCAGGTGTTGCCATACTTTTATCAGATAAAGCAGACTTCAAGTTAAAAAAGACAGTAAGAGACAAAGAGAAGCAGTACATAATTATAAAAGGGAAATTCCATGAAGAGGACATAACATTTATTAATATATATGCACCTAACACAGGGGCACCAAAATACATAAAGCAATTGTTAACAGACCTAAAGGGAGAAATTAACAGCAAGACAATAATAGTAGGGGACCTCAACATGCCACTCATATCAACAAACAGATCATCCAGACAAAAAGTCAACAAGGAAATAGCAAATTTAAATGAAACACTTGATCAGATGGACTTAATAAATATATATAGAACACTCCATCCAAAAACAGCAGAATATACAATCTTCTCAAGTGCACATGGATCATTCTCAAAGTTAGATCATATATTGGGAAACAAGGAAAGCCTCAATAAATTTAGGAAGATTGAAATCATCCCAATGATCTTTTCCGACCACAATGCTATGAAGCTAGTAATCAACCACAAGAAAAAATCCTGGGAAAGTCAGAAATATGTGGAGACTAAACACCATGCTACCAAACAAAAATGGAATCATCAAAGAACTCAAGTGTGAAATTGAAAATTACCTGGAGTCAAAGGAAAATGAAAATACAACAGACCACTTCTTTTGGGATGCAGAAGAAGTGGTCATAAGCAGAAAAGACAGGTAGGAGAGAGCATCACGGTGGAGTGAACTTTCCTGGGACTCTCTCCTGTCCAAAACACAATGAAAAGGGGCATTCATACTCCAACAGAGGACATCCTAACACAACACAAAATTGTCAGAGAGACACACAGCCATATGATGGAGGGCAGAGAGGCTGGAGCCCTCTTCAGAGGAGCTGGAATGGGGTAAGAGAGAACTTCACTCCCTCCCCTAAAGTCTGTGATCTGCAACCATGGGAGTATCCATGAGGAAAGGAATGGGGGAGGGGAATACTCATTCATGGGAACACCAAGGACTCCTTAGGGCCCTTGCAACCTAGAAGGAAGCCCTCTAACAGGGTGAGAGCTTTCGTGGGGGGTAATCTCATCAAGCCAACACCCTAGGAGACCAGATAGAGCAAGAAAGCCCAGAGAGCATACAGGAGAAAGTGCCCCTCCCTCCACTGTCCCTATGCCTGCTCCACTGCCTGGGGTCTCAGCTGAAGGTTATTGAACCCCACCCGGTGGTGATAGGCAATAACTGCAACCAAATAATATCAGAATGCAAAAGACCCAACCCACTTCTACTAAGAACATCAGACACTACATCAAATCTCCGTCAGAGAGAAAATGATAAGCACCCAGAACTCAGTCCTGAGGACAAAGAAATATGTAATCTAAATGCCAATGAATTCAAAACAGCTATCATCAAAAAACCTAATGAGGTAAAAGAGAATGTAGAGAAACAACTCAATGAGTTCAGGAGCTACTTCACGAAAGAGATCGAAACTCTAAAGAAGAATAAATCATAAATATTAGAGATGAAAGACACAATGGCAGAGATAAAACAAAATACAGATTCACTGAATGCTCCAGTGGACATCATAGAGGAGCGTATCGGCATAATCAAAGATAGACATGTTGAAATGCTCCAGAAAGAGGAGGAGAGAGAACTAAGACTAAAAAGAAATCAAGAAAGTCTCCAAGAAATATCCAACTCAATGAGGAAATGCAACATAAGAATCACAGGTATTCAAGAAGAAGAAGAGAAGGAGAATGGAGCAGAAAGCATGTTCAAAGAAATAATAACAGAGCACTTCCCAAACCTAGAAAAAGAGAGGGAAATCTATGTGGAAGAGGCTTCCAGATCTCCTAGATTTGTCAATGTAAAAAGACCTACTGCAAGGCATATAGTAGTAAAACTGACAAAAATTAATGACAAAGAGAGAATACTAAGGGCAGCAAGGCAGAAGAAAATAACATACAAAGGAACCCTTACCAGGCTTTCACCAGATTTCTCTGCAGAAACCTTACAACCTAGTAGAGAATGGAGCAACATATTCAAATCCTTAAAGGACAAAAATCTTCAGCCAAGAATACTCTATCCAGCTAAAATATCCTTCAGATATGTGGGAGAAATTAAAACTTTCCCAAACAAACAAAAGCTAAGGGACTTCATAGCCGTGAGACTCCCCCCACCCCCACAGGAAATCCTCATGAAGGCCCTCATACTTGAAAAACAAAAGGAGAAAGGGGTCACAAAACACAGAGTAAGGAGATAAATAGGTAGACATAATCAGAATAGGATAGCCAATACTCAAGTCTAGCATTAAGCTAAAGGGAAAGAAACCACCAAAAACAAAGGTAATCCTGTCTTTTTAACCACAAAAGCACAATACAAGATGGAATAAGATGTGAGAAAAACAATTTAGGTGGGGAGGAGAAAAGGGACAGAATCGGTTTAGACTAAGGAAATAAGCGGCCATAAGAAATTGGACTATCTTATACATGAGATTCTGAATGGAAACCGCAGGGTAACCACTAAACAAAAAAGCAGAACAGACACACACAGATTAAATAAGGAGAAGACAGAGAAACACATCATAAAAAACTATATAATTCAATGAGTAGACAAAAACACACAGGACAAGAAACAAAGGAAATGCAGGAAAACTGGAAAATGAGTGATAAAATGACAGCATTAAGCTGTCAAACATCAATAATCACACTAAATGTAAATGGATTGAATTCTCCAATAAAAAGACAGAGTGGCAAGATGGATTAAAGAACAAGACCTAACAATATGCTGCCTCCAGGAAACACATCTCAGCTCCAATAACAAACACAGGCTCAGAGTGAAGAGGTGGAAGACAATACTCCAAGCTAATGGCAAACAAAAGAAAGCAGGTGTCACAATACTTAGGTCAGACAAAGTAGACTTCAAGATAAGACGGGTAAAGAGAGACAGAGAAGCAGTATATAATGATCAAAGGGACACTCCATCAAGAAGAAATAACACATAAATATCTATGCACCCAACACAGAAGCACCAAAGTTCATAAAGCAACTATTAACAAACCTAAAAGAAGATATTAATAACAACACAATAATAGTAGGGGACCTCAACACTCCACTCACATCAATGGGTAGATCATCCAGACAGAAAATCAACAAGGAAACAGTGGAATTAAATAAAAAGCTAAAATAATTGGACTTAATAGACATATATAGAACACACCATCCCAAAACAGCAGAATGCACATTCTTCTCAAGTGTGCACACAACATTCTCAAGGATTTACCACATGTTGGGAAACAAGGTAAGCCTCAATAAATTTAACAAAATTGAAATAATAACAAACATCTTTTCCAATCACAATGCTATAAAGCTAGAAATTAATTAGAAGAAAAAAGCTGAGAAAGGCACAAGGATGTGGAGACTAAACAACACGCTATTGAACAGGCAATGGGTCATTGAAGAAATTAAAGGAGAAATAAGAAAATATCTGGTGACAAATGAAAATGAAAACATACCATACCAACTCATATGGGATGCAGCAAAAGCCATATTAAGAGGGAAATTCATTGCAATACAGGCACACCTTAACAAGCAAGAAAAATCTCAAATAAGCAATCTCAAATTACACCTAACTGAATTAGAAAAAGAAGAACAAGCAAAAGTCAGAAGGAGAGAAATAATGAAAATCAGAGCAGAACAATATTCCCCTGAGAACAGGAATGAGACAAGGATGCCCACTCTTACCACTCTTATTCAACATATTACTGGATGTTTTGGCAAGAGCAATTAGGCAAGAAAAAGGAATACTAGGGAGCAAAGAAGTGAAACTCTCGCTGTTTGCAGATGACATGATCTCATATACAGAAAACCCCAAAGAATCTATCAGAAAACTAATAGAAATAATTAACAACTACAGTAAAGTTGCAGGGTACAAAATCAACTTAAAAAATCAGTTATTTTTCTCTACTCCAATAACGAACTTACAGAAAGAGAACTCAAGAATACAATTCCATTTTAAATCACAACTAAAAGAATAAAATGCCTAGGAACAAATTGAACCAAGGAGGTGGAGGACTTATACATGAAAACTATAAGATATTACTGAAAGAAATTGATAATGACATAAAGAGATGGAAAGAGATTCCATGCACATGGATTGGAAGAATAAACATTGTTAAAATGTCCATGCTACCCAAAGCAATCTACAGATTCAATGCAATCCCAATCAGAATCCCAATGACATTCTTCATGGAAGTAGAACAAAGAACTCTAAAGTTCATTTGGGGCAACCAAAGACCCTGAATTGCTAAGGTAATCCTGAGAAAAAAGAACAAAGCTGGAGGCATCACAATCCCTGACTTCAAAATGTACTACAAAGCCATAGTGATCAAAACAGCATGGTACTGGTACAAAAACAGGCACACAGATCAATGGAACAGAACTAAAAGTCCAGAAATAAAACTGCACATCTATGGACAGCTAACCTTCAACAAAGGTGCCAAGAACATACAATGGAGAAAAGAGAGTCTCTTCAACAAATGGTGTTGGGAAAACTGTACTGTCACATGCAAAAGGATAAAGGTAGACCATTATCTCATGCCATATACAAAAATAAACTCAAAATACATCACAGACTTGAAGATAAGTCCTGAAACTATAAATCTCCTGGAAGATAATATACGTAGTACACTCTTTGACATTGAACTAAAAAGGATCTTTTCAAATACCATGTCTTCTCACACGAGGGAAACAAAAGAAAAAATAAACAAGTGGGAGTTCATCAGACTAAAGAGCTTCTGCAAGGCAAAAGAAACTAGAATCAAAATAAAGAAACAACTCACCAACTGGGAGAAAATATTTGCAAATCATATATCTGATAAGGGGTTAATCTCCATAATGTAGAAGGAGCTCAAACAACTGAACAATAAAAAAAAAAAAAAACCTGATCAAAAAATGGGCAGAGGATATGAACAGATATTTTTCCAAACAAGATATGCAGATGGCCAACAAACACATGAAAAGATGTTCAACATCACTAGTCATCAGGGAAATGCAAACCAAAACTACACTAAGATACCACCTTATGCCTGTTAAAATGGCTATAATCACTAACACTAAAAATAGCAAATGTTGGAGAGGATGTGGAGAAAAGGGAACCCTCATACACTGCTGGTGGGAATGCAAACTGCTGCAGCCACTATGGAAAACAGTATGGAGATTCCTCAATAAACTAAAAATAGAACTATCGTATGATCCAGCTATCCCACTACTGGGTATCTACCCAAACAATTTGAAATCAACAATCCAAAGTAGCATATGTACCCCTATGTTCATTGCAGCACTATTCACAATAGCCAAGACATGGAAACAATCTAAGTCCCCATCAACTGATAATTGGATAAGGAAGATGTTTTATATATATACACACACAATGGAATACTACTAAGCGACAAAAAAGACAAATTCATCCCATTTGCAATAACATGGAAGGACCTGGAGGGACTTATGCTAAGCAAAATAAGCCAATCTGAGAAAGACACATGCCAGATGATTTCACTCATACGTGGAATATAAACAAACACATGGACAAAGAAGACAGTTCAGTGGTTACCAGGGGAAGGGGGGTGGGGGTGGGCACAGCGGGTGAAGGGGAGCACTTATGTGGTGACAGTCAAGAAATAATGTACAACTGAAATCTCACATTGATGTAAACTATTATGAACTCAATTTTAAAAAACCAGGTAAGTGAAAGTGAAAAAAAAAAAATTGGTCATAAGAGAGAAATTCATAGCAATACAGGCCCGCCTCAACAAGCAAGAAAAATCTCAAATGAGTAATTTTAAAATGCACCTAACAGAGCTAAAAGAGGAACAAACAAAACCCAAAGTCAGCAGAAAGAGGAAAATAATAAAAATCAGAGCAGAAATAAATGAGATAGAGACTAAAAAAACAGTAAAAGAGCTTAATGAAACTAAGAACTAGTTCTTTGAGAGGATAAAAAAAATTGACAAGACTTTAGCCAGACTCACCAAGAAAAAAAGAGAGAAGGCTCAAATAAATAAAATTAGAAATGAAAGAGGAGAAATTACAACAGATACTGCAGAGATACAAAGGATGATGAGAATACTGTGAAAAACTATATGCCCACAAATTCAATAAGCTAGAAGAAACAGATGAATTCCTAGACTCATACAACCTTCCAAAACTGAATCAAGAAGAAATAGAGAATCTTAACAGACCAATCACAAGTACAGAGATTGAAACAGTAATCAAAAACCTCCCAAAGAGCAAAAGTCCAGGACCAGACGGATTATCTGGAGAATTCTACTGAACATTCAAAGAAGATTTAGTACCTATCCTTCTGAAACTATTCCAAAAAATGGAAGACGATAGACAGCTTCCTAACATATTCTATGAGGCCAAAATTACCCTGATACCAAAACCAGACAAGGACAACACAAAGAAGGAAAACTAAAGACCAATGTCAATGATGAACTTAGGTGAAAAAATCCTCAACAAAATATTGGCAAACCAAATACAGCAATACATTAAAAGGATTGTCCACCATGATCAAGTGGGATTTATTCCAGGGATGCAGGGATGGTTCAACATCCACAAATCAATCAATGTGATACACCACATTAACAAAATGAGGAATAAAAATCACATGAGTATCTCAACAGATGCAGAGAAAGCATTTGACAAGATCCAACATCCATTTATGATAAAAACTCTCAATAAAATAGGTATAGAAGGAAAGTACCTCAACATAATAAAGGCCATATATGACAAACCCTCAGCCAACATCATACTTAATGGTGAAAAACTGAAAGCGATCCCCCTGAGAATAGGAACGAGTCAAGGGTGCCCACTCTCACAACTCCTATTCAGCATAGTACTGGAGGTGTTGGCCAGAGCAGTTATGCAAGAAAAAGAAGTAAAAGGAATCCAATTTGGAAAGGAAGAATTGAAACTCTCACTGTTTGCAGATGACATGATTCTATATATAGAAAACCCTAAAGAACCCACCAGAAAACTATCAGAAATAATCAACAACTATAGCAAAGTTTCAGGGTACAAAATCAATGAAAAAAAATCAGTTACGTTCCTATACACTAACAATGAACTAGCAGAAAGAGAAATCAAAAATACAATCCCATTTACAATCACAACAAAAAGAATAAAATACCTAGGAGTAAACTTAACCAAAGAGATGAAAGACCTATACACTGAAAACTTAAGACACTCTTGAAAGAAATTGAAGAAGACATAAAGAAATAGAAAGATATTCCATGTTCATGGATCAGAAGAATAAACATAGTTAAAATATCCACACTACCCAAGGCAATCTATAGATTCAACACAATCCCAATCATAATCCCAATCACATTCTCCACAGAAATAGAACAAAGAGTCCAGAAATTTATATGGAACAACAAAAGACCCCAAATAGCCAAAGCAATCCAGAGAAAAAAGAGCAAAGCTGGAGGCATCACAATCCCTAACTTCAAAACATACTACAAAGCAAACTGGTGCAGCCACTATGGAGAACAGTATGGAGATGCCTTAAAAAGTTAAAAATAGAAATACCATACAATCCAGCTATCCCACTACTGTGTATTTATCCAAAGAACTTGAAATCAATGATCCAAAAAGATTTATGCACCGCTATGTTCATTGCAGCACAATTCGCAATAGCCAGGATGTGGAAACAACCCAAGTGCCCTTCTACAGATGAATGGATACAGAAGAAGTCGTATATATACAATGGAATACTACTCAGCCATAAATAAAGACAAAATTATCCCATTTGCAACAACATGGATAGACCTGGAGGGTGTGATGTTAAGTGAAATAAGTCAGACAAAGACAAAGACTGCATGATTTCACTCATATGTGGAAGATAACAAATACGTGGATAAAGAGAACAGATTAGTGGTTACCAGAGGAGAAGGGGTTGGAGGGGTGGGCAAAAGGGACAAAGGGGCATATATATATGGTTATGGGTAAAAATTAGACTACTGGGGTTGAACAAGATGAAGTGTATTCAGGAACTGATAAACAATAATGTACACCCGAAATTACACAGTGTTATAAACCATTATAATCCCAATAAAATCACTCTAAAAAAAGGACACTAGTACTATCAGAAGGGAGATAATCAAATTAAAGCCAGCTAAGATCAGAATAGGCATTTCAGCTTCATGCCTGAGAAGAGCAAAGAAAACAAAGGACAAATTAAAAATCCTTAAGGTGAGTAGAAGAGAAGCAAATGTGCTGTAGAGATATGAGATTGCCGCCAGCACTTGACAAACCCTTTGTGACATAATAACTGGGTAGAGCAGAGGGTTACAGATGGCCACATAGCAGTCATAGGAAATTGATGACTGAATAAAAACTTCACTAATAATGAATATAAGAAAGAAAGCTAGTTTTATAGCACAAAAACAATAAGAGATTGTATTCTTATCCACAACAAAATTTACTAACATTTTGGGTCCTACAGTTGTTGAGTAACCAAGATCAGTAAAAGCCAGGTGTCTGAGAAAAAAGTACACGGATGTTTGTAGCCTGGAGTCCATCTCAGTGAGGATGACCATGCCCAAGTTGCTCACCTCTGAGATCATGCAGATGATGAAGAAGAGCCCAAATAAGGGAGCCTGCAGCTCAGGGTGGTCTGTGATTCCCATGAGAATGAATTTGTCCAGCACTGTCAGAGTGTGTTTCCATCCAGGTTTATCAGAAAACCTGTTCTGAATAGATACATCATCATAGTCAATAGATTTTTTGTATTATCACCTGGGAGATGTTTTACTATGCAAAGCTAGTATAAATAAGATACATCCAAACTTCCAATATAGGATATTTGAAAATATACCTATCTGCCACATATTAAAATATACATAAATAGAGATAGAAAGAGACATGGAAATAGATCAGTGGTTTTCAACTAGAGTGATTTTACTCCTTAAAGAATATTTTCCAATGATTAGAGACATATTGGTTTTCACAACTGGGAGTTGAGATGTTACAGACTTCTAATGGTTAGAAGCCAGTTAAGCTGCTAAATATCCTACTATATCCAATATCTAGCCCATAACAATATTCAGCCAGTAATAACAATCTTTCCATGGTTGAGAAAGGCTTATAATACAGATATAGATAGGCACAGATATGGACATTAAATTAAAAATGAAAACAAGTTAAGCCAATATTAATACTTCAAATATTAGCTATATGGGAAATTATCAGACTATTATTTAAAGTCTTTTTTATCATTTATAAGATACAATCACATAATGACATTTATAAAATACATTAATAATATAACAATATATATGTCAATTATGAAATAAAAATGTAAAACCACAAATTCCAAAAATGTGTGTAATACACTACTCAAAACATAGTCCTATGAAAAATCTTATCCTCAGAGGTGGTACTGGCTGAGAGCACACTTGCCAGCTATTTGACAGGTTTATGAATAAGAATACACTAGGAGATGAATATATGCATACTTTCTGCTGTACCTTAATTTATGGTACACACAAAATGTTACTTTGGGCAGATAATGTAAGCTACAAATAATGCAAGAGTAAGCTAACTAAAACTCTTCATTCTCATTTATAAAACCAATATTTCCTTGCAGAGCTGTTGGGAAGGATAAATGAAAATTCAATGATTCAATGTGTCTATGTTGCCTGAAAACAGCTCTCAAATATCAAGTACGTACGTAGTGATTTTTGTGTTTTTTTTTAAATGGTGATTGTAACTTACCTGAAAGAGATTTTCATTACACACATATGCATGTTCTCTGGACTGAGTCAACTTCTTTGTCAGGGCTATAGTGATGAATAGGTGAGGAACTGGTTAAGTAGGATGTAATAATTGCAGCTCATCTCAGTCCCTACCTCATCCCCATTCCATAAAATTTGAACAATCAAGTTGTTATTATTCTTCTGAATTACTTATCTTCTGATTTTCTTATCTATTTTGATATGTTATTTTGATATAAATTTGCTTAAAATATTATTCTTCCTCTTGCAGCATGTCCATTAAAATTGAGATATACTAACTTGTATGTATCAAATCAGTTGCACTTTATCATGCAAGGAACTAGGTGAGTATGATGAAATCTGGGCAAACTGGGAGAAAAAGAAGTAACTGGCAGTGGTTTTACATAATGAAATTTCATGAAAATTCCCTTTCGATTACGGGATACAATAAAGAAAAAAAGCTGTTGAAAGTCGTTATGATACACAATATCGTAGAGACAAAATAAAGTCCTACACTAAAAATGAGAAATACATGGATTCCTGGATGTGATTTGAAATCCATCTGTACATTAAGCCCACAGGAACTCCTTCAAACCATGATGCAGCACATAATGCAGATAAACATGTGGATACTCACATAAAATGTATCTAAATATCCTACAAAGCTGCAGATAAAAAATTATACTAAGAGGAAGTGGATGGCATAGTAAGGTAAGATAATTCTTTGTGCTTTAAAAATTTGTGGACATTGTTACTTCCACTAAAAAAAGGAATAGAAATGATACTGTTGCAATAAAATTGCAAGACAGGAGTCTCCGAGCAAGCTATAAGCAGACAAAAACAGACCATTTTACAACATTAAATATAAAGGTAATAACATGTAATTTGCACTCAACTCACTGAAAACCTTGCCTATAAGTTTGTGACCTCCTGACACCCAGCACTGCCCCGATGCACACACCTTTCTTATATTAGAAACATGGAAATGTGTATCAGTAGACAGTAATATTAGGGAAATATTCAGTAAATGCAATAAAAAGCAGTATAAATCTTGGTGTCTGTTTGTTTTGTTGTTTTCCTTTACAGTCATGGAAGGCTAAAAAGTCAATAGCACATGGTAAGAACCAGTTTTCCTGTGGGGGAAGGAAAGATAAAAGCATTTCCTCTCACCAGCTTTGGAGTTCTGGGAAAGAAACAAATTGGTTTTCATAGTTTACTCTCTCTGTGGAATATTCAATTTTTATTTTTTAAAACTATACTTCTTCAGATAATTGTATTTGCTTTTGGTCATATCCCACTGGAAAATGGAGAACATGCTGAACATCGTGCCCTTACCATGAAACTGGAGACTGAAAAGTCTCTTAATATGCGAATAACGCTGCTCACACTGCTGCATTAGGGGTGACCTCTGTTTTCCTTATCACGATATCAGGGGAGAGTTGTATTTATACATTTATTTAAAAAATCATTAAACGTTGTCATTATTTAGAGGATCACAAAAAGAGTCTAGAGTCACTAAATAAGTATTTGGAAGGACTTCCAAATGAGAGACTAAATATCTGTGGTTTCTTAATTTTGCCAATTTTTAAAATTTCATGTCTCTTTGTGCTTCATTTGCTGTCAGTTTTGGCCTCCATTAGAGATAAAATTGGGGGCTGGCCCCCTGGCATAGTGGTTAAGAACATTCTGCTTTGGTGTCCTAGGGTTCACTGGTTCAGATCCTGGGCACGGGCCTACACACCACTCATCAGGCCATGTGGTGGCAGCATCCCGCATAGAAGAACTAGAAGGACTTACAACTAGGATACACAACTATGTCCTGGGGCCTTGGGGAGAAAAAAAAAAGAGGAACATTGGCAACAGATATTAGCTCAGGGCCAGTCTTCTTCACCAAAAAAAAGCATACCTACGAAAAAGACATTAATAAAAAAGAAGAGACTTCAAGTGGCTTTAAAAAAAAGATAAAATTATTCATATAATACATAAATATTTTACAAACAATATGACAGTGAAGATTCCAAGATCCATCTGAACACTTAGCCTCTCAACCCATGTAAAAATGTTCCAAAAATTAATATGAAGGAAAAAGCAGAGAGTTGCTATTCCTACTCAAGCATTGTGGTTATTAGAAAGCAAAGAAAGCAGAATCAGAAATGATCATGTTTTTCTAGGGCTTTGCCATGGAATTAAAGTGGAACTTCGCAAACGTCACTGGAACATTGTGGATATCGGTACCATATGGCGCCATGTGAAATATTGTATGGATTTTACCTGTAATGAAGTCTCTGTCTTGACTCCTGTATGTGTTTCTTAACATGGCATATTGAGAACAACATGTAGAACTTTTCGCCTTTTGAAGACTTTCCCTGAGAACATGCCAAGCAACTTGTTCATTATTCCTGAAGCATATAAGAGCATAACACAGTGCCTAGAGGCTGTCCGTTAATTGTCAAGGGCAATTTGTATTCAGTAGTAACTTACTTTTGTTTTTTATTTTTTTCACTCTAAGTTAACTTTCCATTTGTACCACAAAGGACTCTTAATTAAAATGTCATATATTTAGGATAGGCTCAACAAGAGTCCCCATTGCCATTGAATGGTCTCTTCAAATGAGTGACACAGTGGAGATATGTTAAAATTCTGTTTTATTACATTATTTTAAAACCATAAATGAAATAAAAATTATACATTATGCAAATGTCGTCATGCTGTTTCCTTGATTTTTATTGTTGTTTTCCTTGTTTCTCCCCTTCCCCTTTCTAGTTACTGATTCTTCTCATTCCATAGTGAGTGGCCATGATCAACTAGCTACTTCTCTCTTGATTTTGTTTTTTTCCCTTAATTGCATATTACAGAACTTCATTTATTCCATTCTGTCCAACACCCACTCCAATTTTTCTTTCTCACTTTAAAACATTGTGCTTGATATATGCCTAGCATATCAGTTTATCCTTGTAAAAATGTAGTATTTTGTGTGTATACAACTACGTGTATATTTTATGGTTCTATAAATTTCATTACTGCATTTAAGTCATTTTATTTGGTATGCTTCGATGTGATGACATATTTTGTTTCTTTCTGCATTATCATCCGTGATATATATCCAACAAATTTCATTTATCTTTTTTTACTGGTAGATATTTTATTTGTCTCTAACTCACAGCTATTGCAAACACCACTAAAATGTACAGCCTTAATGAACAACTGCCAACTTGTCCTCTTAAAAATGATGTGAACATATATATATACACGTAATCTTAATAAGAGAGAGTAGTATATACTTATTAATTCTCCTAAATATTTCAGATCGTTTACCAATATATTATTCTATTAATAAAGATGCAAGACTTATCCTGGATTATCCTTTTCACGTCTAGTGCATGAATTATGTCCTTCTTGTTAATTTGGCATTTATGGTATTATATGTATCTTTCATCCAATTTATTATACTTCTTCTTCCCTTTTCTTTCCAAGTTATCAAACTGCTGCCATTTCGTATAAATATTAGTGGTCAGTTTCTGTGGTCACTTTGCTTTTGTTTTTGGACATTGACTAAGCTGCGTATATATAAAGTGCAAAATTTGATAAGTTTTGACATATGTGTATACTCATGGATCCATCAAAGTCATCAAGATAACAAATATACCCATCACTCCCCAAATTTCTTAGTCTTCATACATATTAACTCCATTCTACCCTCCTTGTCCCTTGCCCAACCAAGACAACTTTAATTTGCTATTTTAGAAAAATTTTGTATTCAAATAACTAGAGATTTACAGGAAGTTGTAAAAAACAATGAAGAAAGATTCTGCATAATCTTCCCCCAGTTCCCCACAATGATAAGGTCTTGCATAACTACAGTATGATTTCACTAGGAAATTGACATTGGTATAATACACATATTTGTTCAGATTTCACCAGTTTTGCACGTACTCTTTTGTGTGTTTGTGTGTATTCACTCCTCTGCATTTTATCACATGTTCTTCATCACTGCTCTTGCAGGACATTGAGTCCTCTCCAAAATGTCTACAAGACACTTGGTCCGTATGACACTTGGTCCATGCCAAAAGGTCCTTGACATTTGGTCCTGTCCAAAATGTCCATGAGCATATTTTGTTCATGCCAAATGGTTTTGGACAGGACCAAGTATCAAGGTCCTTTTGATGTGGACTATATGTCTTATATACATTTTGGACAGGACAAAATGGCCCTGCAAATATCACAGACCTTTTGGCATGGACCAAATGCCCCCATGGAGGTTTTTGACAGGATGAAAAATGACCAGATATCAAGGACCTTTTGGCAGGCACCAAATACACTCATGGACATTTTGGATAGGAGAGAATGTCTTGCAAGGCTCTGCATAATAGTCTTGAGAGCCATCCATATTTTTGTGTATAGCAATAATTCATTACTTTTTATAGCTGAGTGGTATTCATTTGCTTGGATATCACACAATTTGTTTATCTATTCTCAAGTGAAAGAATATTTGGATTGTTTCCAGTGTCTTGCTATTATAAATAAAGCTTCTATGGGCATTTGCATACACATATTTATAATGAAATGTGCTGTCATTTCTCTTGGATAAATACATGGAATGGCTAAATTTATTCCAAGATGATGGACTCAGAAAACAGTCCAGTCTCTCTAAGATGTAAATAAGTCTATTAAATGTAAAAAATAATACAAATAAACAAAAAATAAGGGAACTTAGGAAAGGTTATGTAGGAAGTATGTCTAAAGACATAACAAGTATGCAAATTGCTATGTACACACTCCACATTCACTAGGAAACAGCATAGTCCAGATCATAGAATCATCTCCTTTTGCTTCCTCCAAGTAGGATCATCAAATCAATGTGGCCAGACAATATATCCTAATGAAAAGATAGCACATAATAATTTGAATCAAATTTATGGAAAGAGAAGCAATAACTTAATTTATCACAGAGTAGACCTCATATGCAAGGACACAAAAACAACTAGAACATGACTTTTAAACAAGAATTATTCTTGGTTCTGAGACATAAGAAA